GTTTGAAGAAGGTGACCACTGTGTCCTCAACATTACACAAAACTAGTTCTGATTTTTCAACTTCTGAGTGCCTTGAAGCCGGTTTCCTGAACTTCTCCCAGTGGTGAACAACATCTTTTAAGTCTGAAGTTGACATATGGTCATCACTTTCCTTTTCTTCCTCACCATTGTCAGCCTCTAACATCTCATCCAGTTGCTGCAAGTCTTCAGGAGTAAGTTCCTGTTCATGAGACATCACAAGCTCTTCTTCATCATCCTCCTCCACTTCAAAGCCCAATTTCTGACCAATGGACACAATCTCCTGGTGCAACTCTGTTTCATCCTGAAATCCCTCAAAATCATGGACTATTGATGGCCACAGTACTTTCCTTGAAGAATTGAGGGATCTAGTGGAGACATCTTGCCATGAGGACACAATCAATTTTACAGCCTCCAGGATCTTAAACTGTATCTTCCAGAACTGTGCCAGTGTTAGTTTAGGATCAGTGGAAGTTGCCTGATGACACCTCCTGAACATTTTCTTCATGTACAACTTCTTGAAGTTGCTGATCACATTCTGGTCCATTGGCTGTATGATTGATGTAGTGTTTGGAGGTAAAGACAACACTTTCACAAAGTCAAATTGAGACTCCAATGTTCTGGCAAGTTGAGGGTCATGACCAGGGGCATTATCCATAAGGAGAAGAGCCTTTAAAGGGAGTTTATTGGTGGTTAGGTAGCTCTTCACAGAAGGGCAAAACACCTCAACAGCCCATTCATTAAAGAGCTGTCTTGTTGCCCATGCCTTACGGTTGGACTTCCAATAAACTCCAAGCCGTCCTCTTCCCACTTTCTGTTGCTTGAACACCCTGGGGTTCTGAGAGTGGTAGACAAGCATAGGCTTCAGTCGGAAATCCCCTGAAGCATTGGCACCAAGCAGTAGAGTGAGACGGTCTTTCATGGGTTTATGCCCAGGTAAAGAGGCTTCATCTCTGGTGATGAATGTTCTTTTGGGCATCTTTTTCCAGAACAGCCCAGTTTCGTCCACATTGAACACTTGCTGTGGAAGATAATTTCCTTCTTCCATCAGTTCTTTAAATTCCACTAAAAACTTTGCTGCCTCTTCCTTATCAGCACTGGCAGCCTCACCATGCCTAACTACACTAAATATGTCACTTCTTTTCTTAAATTTTTCGAACCAGCCTTTGCTGGCCCTAAAATCTTCAAAGTCTGCTCTTTCACAAATAAATTCAGTAGAAACTGAATCACCTTGCATCTGTTTTTCCCTAATCCAGATGATAAGTAACCTTTCTGTTTCTGCTATTAGGGATCTACCTTTGAACACTCTGGTAGATTTGTCTCTCACTTTCACTTCCTTGAATTTGTCTTTCTGTGTAAGAATTGTCGACATGCCATATTCTTTGCTTAGCACATTTGTTCTAATGCCTTCTTCATGTTTTCTAATTATTTCCTGTTTCATCTGAATTGAAATTGCTTTTCTAGGTTTCTTGGGACTTATGCTGGATTCAAAAACAATTTCAACACGTGATATTTTAAGTTTAATTGCTGTAAATAAAGAATATTTTCTTTAAATTAACACTGCACTGCACTATATATCATCAATATGTAAAATATATTTCAAAATTACCAATAATTTGACTGAAAACACAGAAAAAAGCGTTTATGTTGAAGAGAGTCTGAAGCAAGATGTTACCTCCACTGAAAAGACACAAAGACTGATGCCTGTTTGGTGGGCATAAAACTAGTTTCCTGTACTTCAATTATGTACAATACCGTATACGTACAGTTTTACCCCGCCTAACGCGGTTTCACTTAACGCGTTTTATCATATACGCGGTGCCTCGCCAGAGCTGAACTTTCACTTAACACGGATTTTTTCCACATATACGCGGTGAGTGTCCGGCTCGAGACGCTATTTTTAGATTTGCCCCACCCGCCACCCTGCCTGACTGCCTGTTTTAGCTCATAAAATTCATACAAATTACCAGGCCAGAATATAATTTACATTGCTGGAATTCTTATAATTTGGTGATAATTTTGAATATAAACATCATATATTTTGCTTTAAACTTACAATTTTTAGATAAAAAATTTTCTCTAGGTAACTATGGTATCTTTTGTGCAAAATATATGACATTTATATTCAAAATATTCCTGGTCTTACAAGGAATCCAGCAATGTCAATTATATTATCCTAACTTTAGTTTGAGGTATTATTTATTAAAATTTAGTGGTTATCCCACACATATCCTTGGGACGGGGGGTGGGGGGGAGGGAGGGACCAACCGACCATCTGTTACCCTGTGAAGAATTGTTATTTTTTTTTATTAACTGAAGATATTTGTTTTAGCTCATAAAATTCATACAAATTACCCAGTCAGAATATAATTTACATTGCTGGAATTCTTATAATTTGGTGATCATTTTGAATATAAACATCATATATTTTGCTTTAAACTTACAATTTTTAGATAAAAATTTTTCTAGGTAACTATGGTATCTTTTGTCCAAAATATATGACATTTATATTCAAAATATTCCTGGTCTTACAAGGAATCCAGCAATGTCAATTATATTATCCTAACTTTAATCTGAGGTATTATTTAATACTAAATGTTAAAAACTCTGGAAGGGAGGATTGGTGGGGGGTGGGGGGGAGGGTTGGGACTGACCGCGCGGTTGGAAGAGGGGGGGAGGCAAGGTGGGGTACTTTGATTGACAGATAGTGTCGTGAAGATTATTTTTTTTTTATTAACTGAAGATATTTGTTTTAGCTCATAAAATTCATACAAATTACCCGGTCAGAATATAATTTACATTGCTGGAATTCTTATAATTTGGTGATCATTTTGAATATAAACATCATATATTTTGCTTTAAACTTACAATTTTTAGATAAAAATTTTTCTCTAGGTAACTATGTTATCTTTTGTGCAAAATATATGACATTTATATTCAAAATATTCCTGGTCTTACAAGGAATCCAGCAATGTCAATTATATTTTCCTAACTTTAGTTTGAGGTTATCCCACACATCTCCTTGGGACGGTTGGTGGGGGGTGGGGGGGGGAGGGAGGGACCGACCGACCATCTGTTAGCCGGCTGTGTAGTGTGAGAGGGGGAGGGAGTTGAGTCCATTATTTGAATGGACATTAACTTGGCGACTGTATTTCTCTATTTCTCTTAAGTATTAATTGTGTGCATGTACCATCATAAAATTAAGATGTTATTTTTACTACAACATAGGTATGTGCCTTCAAAAAGTGGAGTTTGGGGGTCGGGCCGGTTTCTATTGGAATTAATCCCATATGTTCTGTTGTTCACTTAACGCGGATTTCACTTAACGCGGGACCCTCTGGGTTCAATTGACCGCGTTAAGTGGGGTACAACTGTATACTCGTGTGTAGTTCGAGTTTTTATGACCAAATTTTTAGGCAAAAAATTGGGGGTCGATCTCTACATGCGTAATAGTTTTGTTAGGTTGAACCCGTGCATGATGGGAAGGGCGAGGAGCAACTTTTAGCTTCAGACATGAAAAATATTTACCATTTACTGCCAGTAAACAATGGAAACGTAAAATATGTACCAATTAGTAATGAAAAGTTGTGCAGTTCCTTCAGCAGATGAAGCTCACCAACTTACAATAGGCTAAATTACCTTACAACGTACTTTCAGTGGTCTATGTTGAAGTTCTTAGCACAGGCTAACTTATCATATCAAATACGGTATCACAGTTCTCATAGATCTACAAAAAATACCGGTAATAAAAACCTTTTCGATATTTCACACTTAATATAATACCCGGTAATCCACATCAACCTCCTATTGTTTACAACGATGCATGACGCACAACCAGCTGTTGAGTATCAGCTAGACGGTCCACGTGTTTTTCGAATCGTTTTCAGTTGAAAAACTGTTACATCACATGTATATGTTACCTTAACTGTGCCTGAATGAATATATTCTCGGAAATAAATAGTAGTTTTGCTGAAACGTGATGTATTTTAATGTAAAATAGGATAAAATACATGACAAAAACAAAAGATTTTACCTGACCTTCCGATGTTCAAGAGAAGTTACTCGTTTTTTTTAATATTTTCGGTTAAAATACTGTTATATTACAATGGTATTCTATTCATACTGTGCTTGATATAATACATTCACGGAAATGTAATATTTTTGCTGAAATGACGTACGTATTACAGTGGAAAGTGGGATAAAATCGTGACGAAAACAATGACTTTCGCTTTCTTTCGTTCAAAAGATGTTACCGTAATCGCTTTTTGAATGGTTTAGTTAAAAAACTGTTGTATTGCAATAATATTTCCTCCTAATTGACTTGAATAAATACTTGAATGGAAATATACAATATTTTTTGTTGAAACTACCCGCGTTTCAGTGTAAAGTGTCGTAATAATAAATGGTAAACAATTTACCTTCGGCACTCGGTGTTTTAGGCACGGCGAGCCTCAGTTTATAGGACGTAGAGTGTTTTTACTGAAGGTTTTGTTGTTCCATTACCCTCAAAAACCTGGGTCGACCTATAAACGAGGAATACCATAAATTAACGATTTCTTGGTCAAAAAATCAGGGTCGACCTATAAACGAGGGGTGGTTATAGACGAGTATATACGGTAATTGTTAAAATGACTAAAAAAAATTAATATAAAACTTTTAAAATGATTGAATAGTACAATTTCTTGATATTTGCTAAAATGGTAAGGAATTTAAGCCCTAGAACCGATTACTGTATTGGCGGATTATTACGACAGCTAGTGTGCAAGCGAAAACATGTTGTGGGGCGCTCGTAAGGAATTTGTTAATCAAGGGAATGCTCGTTAACTGAAGTTAAGAATCTTATGGAAGGTAATTCGTAAACCGAGGCGATCGTTAACCAAGGGGTCACTGTATAGTCATGAAACGGGAAGTTCCCACGGTTACTGGTACATGTGAAGAAATGCACCGCACATTTAACCTAATTTTAAATTCTCTATTTTCAGCCAGTGAAAGAAGAAATGGGAAGCACTTCACAAGAATGATAAGATCAAACACTAAGAGAGATGAAGAGACTTCTTCAAATGATTTTAAGGAAGATAACTCAAGTGAACCTGACTCTAAGAAGCGAAAATCAGCAAATAAAAGGAAGAGGCAAAAACACACTGACGAAGAATTTGAAAGTCATAATGAGGAAAAAATTAATAGGAAAAGTAAAGAGGGAGAGAAACGGTCTAGGGACAATCACCGTAAGCCATCTAGAACTGATCATATCCAATCACCACAAGTAAACCGAAGAAGATATGTGGCAAAGAGAAAGTTGTTTAAGTTTGGTGAAGTGGCAAAACTTACTCCACAAGCTCCCTTCTTTGGGAATGGAGTTGGTAGTGCCATCATACAACGTAAATTCTTGGGTAGAAGAATCTATTCAAGTTCTGAAGTGGAACAACAGAAATGCACTTGACATGAGACTAGTGCAAGGAGCCCTCATAGACCACAACAACAGAGCCCTCATAGACCACAACAACAGAGCCCTCATAGACCACAACAACAGAGCCCTCATAGACCACAACAACAGAGCCCTCATAGACCACAACAACAGAGCCCTCATAGACCACAACAACAGAGCCCTCTTAGTCCACAAGAACAGAGTCTTCATAGTCCACATGAACAATCATTACTTAGAGCAAAGATATCCCTAGAAGAGGAAAATTTACATAGTAACTCTGGAGAAAATATTGATGTAACTGTTATTGAAAGGTCACACATGAGTGATGGGGAAGGAAGTGGTGTGGATTTTTCTAGAAATCAGCCAGTAGCCAACAAGAGCCTCTCAGATTTAGAAGATGATATTTCTAGTGCAAAAACTAATGACAGATCCATGTCTCCAGTCGCTGTAACTCCCAGGCGAGATGTGCAGGATAGAATACCCTATTTGAAACCTGTCAAATATTTAGACATTAGGAATTTTCTAAAGGGAAGTGGAGACTCATTGTGTAGTAATTCACCCACTAGTGATAATGAAGGTGAATCTCTAAGTTGTCAGAGATATAGAAGTCAGACTCTAAAATGAACACACGGGAAGTGAATAAACTAAGGAAATGTGCTGGATATCCTGAAATACAGCTTAAAGGATGTTCAGTGTTATTACAGAGGCTTCCCAGGAGTAAACTTAAAAGGATAGTTGTACATAAAAACAAGATGAAAGCTCTGTATTGAACAGTGAACAATTACTTTAAGTTAATGAATATCTGTAATTCATAGACTGTAGTGATTATATTGGGAAAGAATTAAACTTTCTTTTCATATTAGTTTTTATTATAGTTATTAGCCTTTAGGTTTATTGTCATTTAGTTGTATGCAAAGATCTTAATCATAGTGCTTAATACAGACCTTTCCTGTGTTGGACAAATAAATATTACCAGTTTTAACCAACAACAACTCTCATAACAAGTCTTTAATGTTAGGACTGTCACCTCTATTTACTCAGAAATCTTTTTAAAGTAAAGTGTACAGTAAAGTGTGGAAACATGAAATGTTCAGAGCATTGAAAAGTGTCTGAAAAACAGAGGTCAACTACCTAACATATTTTTTTTTTATTCTTTTTGTGAAATCTCAGAAAAGTGTTGTTGTATACCAAGGTAATGTTTTTTGGGTGCTTTTCTACACTGGTACAATAGCAACGGTTGTGATCACTCGAGTTAATACTTTGATATTTACAGACAATGAGCGAACAGTGAACATCTGCCGTGATAAGAGTGTTGTGGGCAGTGTTCTTTTCTGAGTGTCACCGGAAGGCCATAATTGTAATAAGATTATGTAACTTAGTGTTATTTTAAATCGTCATATATATTGGTTGTATTTGTTTTGGTTTCAATTGGAAGTGTTTTAGTTCTCAGTTGACGTCAGTTTTGACAAGTGAGTTTATTGGTATAACACGAGTTATTTTATAGTTCCGAGTGTATTGTATTTTTGTGTTGTTTCTATTAGAGCATGATTTTAGTGCAAAGGGCATTAGTTCTACCAGTGTAGACTGACAGGCATTGTCAGTAAGTGTGTTTTATGTTTATTTGAGATCTAATACATGTATAATTTCAGCAATTGCATTGATGGTTCTAGGACTCTGTGGTGATATGGACATATATAAAAGAACGCAATCTTTGAAAATTGATTGTTGAAAATACATGTCAGGACCCCCAATTGTGAGTACAACAGAGTACATTGTGAAGTGATAACAGTGTTAAAATCATTGCAATTGAAAAGACAGTGAATACTTGTTGAGTACCGAGGGGACAGTCTCGTAAAGTATTACAGTAGTATCAATTATTTTTGGAAGCAAGACTCTCAGTAATGGAAATGTCTATGGTTCTTTTTTAAAGTTGTTTGATTTTCTAGAGTACAGTGTAATTCGGGAAGAGTTCATACAGTGTTGCACCATACAGAGATTGTCAATGACAGTACCATTGCCTTGAGTTTGCACTGTAAGTGTTTCTTGAAAAGTGACAAAAGAGTACAGTGATGTTTTCCTCGTGTATTGTTCAGTGAAGCCCTAAAGTAAAAGTTCACCTGTCCAGTATTATCACTAGGGGAGTGAGTAATAAGTTGAGTAGTAATTTGTGCAGTAATTTTGAGACAATATTTCAAGTGTTCTTGTGTATTAGAAGGTCAGTTAAGCAGTACTCAGAATGTATTTGAAGGTGTGCACTGTTCCAGTATTGTGTAGTTACAGTGAGTTGTTTTGACCTCCAGGCATGATGGCCGTCACAAGGGAGCAGTTCAGGGCAGTCAGCTCAGAACCTGTGTCCAGTAAGTTGATGTGTACAGTTGAGAAGTATGTGGGTGGAGACGTGTTCATTCACAGGAATGACACCCAGGTCTCACCACCAGTTGCTTCATCAGGTGTATGGCCTGATGGACAGGGAGGTGGAGAAGGGATGCCTCTTTTGCTAGTTATGTGAGGCTGGCATCAGTGTTGCCGAGATATCTTTAGAGGGTTGTAGACCTTTTACCGGAATGCATTGGTTGTTGATGTGCATGGTGAAGAGTGATGTTTTGCATATTTGTGTTGCAATTTAGAAGTACAACTGGTAAGTGAGAGAATGTGTTGTTGCCTTTCATCAGTAAGTTGTGGAAAGTGAGTATGTTGTTGCCCATGTGAGTGTGGCATGTGGTGCCATGGGAATGTTTGTGAGTATGTAGGTATTTGTGATTTTTTTTTTTTTTCTCCGGAGAGGGATTGTCAATGTGCAGTGAAGACATAGAGATTGGAAGATGGATTGGCTGTTATGCAACCATCTGATGGGTGTCTGTTACTAGTTTGAGTAAAGATACCAGTTGTGAGTTCTCAAGTTTTGTGAGTTAAGTCCTGGCCAGGCTTGTTGTGTATAGGAGTAGTGTTCGTGACGTTTAGGTGGGGTCGGGCATGTTAAGCATGGCACTGATTTCTGCTAAATGGCAAATGCCATAAGTACAGACAGTTTTTTGGTTTGGTTGTGCTCCCATCAGGACCGTTTCGTATTGCATTGTATTCTTGGGAATACCTCCGCTCGTTCGGGATCCCTCGAATGTTGCTGCCTCTCGTGAGTAGGACATGACTTTAGTTTAAAGTCAAACAAATCATTCCTTCGACTGGATGGGGTCCGTTCATGTAGATCCTAGCTTGAGAAGTCCAAGTTAAATCTCAGTGGTGTCGAGTAAGCATTTGACCAATCTCCTCAACATAACTTTCTTGATATGAGAAGCTGCATCTCCAGAGTGTGTATTGTGTAACATTTTTTTTGTTATGTATGTAACCCCATTTTTATGCTTTTTCTTTATCATTACATTATTCTCATGTATGTGTATTTACCTGTGTTTTTTCCCTATTCAATGTTGTCAGTGATAATAGATACGTTTTTTGTTTTTTACTACCGTTTATCCCATGTATGTAACCATTTTGTTCTTGTTTTGTATGCCTTTTTGTGCCAGATGCCTGTAATAGTTCTGAGGTGTTGTTATGAGTGTGTGTAGTGTGAAACAGAGACCAAAGGTAACAGTTATTTAAAGAATCTGTGTAACTACTGTACATAATTAGCGAATGCTACCGCATAATAAGAATCTTGGGGAAAGGGGGAGCTTTGTCATGGTCACATTGACGGCTGGTCTGTTTTAAAATTGAGGATTCTTATTATACTCCACAGCCGCAAAACATGATTGGGTAGCTGGTTAGCTATCCCTAAGAAGAAACGCGTTTTTCCCTCCCCAACGTTTACACCAAGGATCCCTGTCTAAGTCCCGCCTTCGAAGACAGTTGTCAATACATTTGTATTCCACTTTCTCCTGGCAAGCTCATTCTTGAATTAGTTTATGTAAATCGACTTTAGTAATTCGCCAGACCTTTGTCAACAGAGGGTCATCTTTGAATGTGCAACAGTTGGTTTGTTTGTAATTTCTTTCATTGCGTGAGATAGCCACATCTGGCAACTCAGGGGTATGAAAGCCCTGAGCGTGAAGAAGCTCGGCCTCCCGTGACGATCCTCCAACTTTGTTCACAGATCCAGTGTGTGGGCTTATTTGAACACCCACCGGCTGCCCGGAGTCGGTGGATACCTAGCAGTTAGCTATATATGAACGTTGGCGCCGATTCGACATGATTAAATTGATCAAGTCTGCCTTGTGGAGCTGGACCCCAGACTGCCAACACGTGTCAGAGTATAACCGACCACAACAGCGGTCGTCAGTTGTTAGAGGCGCCAGTGTTATACCCTGGGACATGCCTTGAAGTTGTATGTGTTTGGGGATAATTATCTGGAATATAATTATCCCATGTTGGGAAGTGAACCCATGTATAAGTTGTTGGTTTCAGTAATAACGTGTTGTGAGTGCATCTCATAATTATGTACTAACAACAGTCTGTGAAGGTATCATATGTAAGTTTGTCTTATAACTGGATGTAATGAAATGTACCTAGTAATATGTGAGAAGTAAAGTTGTCCACTTGGGACTAACTGAGTAAAGCCATGGAGTTGATCCTGGTAACTGTTAATGTAATGTATCACCAGTAATGTGGGAGAAGTCAGAGTACCCATTTGGAATGGCATGTGAGTTAAACCAAGGAGTTGTCATGTGTCTATATGCAATGTGAGTAAAGCCAAGGATTTGGTCCTGGTAACTGTAATGTAATGTAACACCAATAAGGTGGTGTGTAGTAAGAGCACAGTATCTGAGTAAATTGCAGTTGAGTAAAGCCGAGGAGTTGCACCTTGGAGTTGTATGTTAATGATATCTTTTTCCCTACTTTGATTTCATATTTATAAACCATTTCTTAGAGTATATGAGGGGTATTCATTTCACCTCAGTATTCCACCTTTATTTCCTTCCAAGTGACTTGATATCAGAATTACAATACCCATGTGCTGACCCTCGCCATGTTACCAAAAAGAACTGAGGTTATGTAGTAACCATGAACTGAAGTAAGTAGAAAGAACAATTGAAGGAACTAAGACAGAGTATGAGTAAGATATGGGTGGCCTCGGTGGTTCAGCAGAAGTAGTAGTGCCCCCCGCTCTTTCAAGGGTGGCAGCTTGTGTTGTTTAAGTGCTCCCCCCCCCCCCCCTTACAAGGGTGGCAGTTTCAGGCGCTCTAATCTCTCAGGGTAACTGAGGTGCCTTTAGTGCAGGCACCAGTCTGGTGGCCCTCCTTTGGTCTAATATATCATTCTACTGGTGTATGAAGGTCTAGTACAGGGGTTCTCAACCAGGGGGGAATTTCCCCCCTCAGGTTTTTAGGGGGAAACTGATACTAATATGGAAAAAATAAAGGATTTTCAGTATTATATGCATATTATTTGGAATGCACTTTTTGAGGCAGACAATCTTGGAAAGGAGGGGGGAATGACATTCTGACATATGGTGAAAGGGGTGCATGGGGCAAACAAGGTTGAGAACCACTGGTCTAGTATATCATTCTACTGGTGTATAAAAGTCTAGTATATCGTTCTACTCGTGTATGAATGTGTCTTGTATCATTCTAAGGACCCTGTAGCCTATAGTATGTACCTTGACTCTACTCAGGCGTTTAATAGCGGAACCGCACAAAGGGCTGAACGATTAAATAAAAAGAAGGAGAATTCAGGCGAATTTGTTCATGGCTGCCAACAGTATGCTAAGATTAATGGCGCGAAATCGTCAATTGTGTGGCCATGATAAATGGGGTCTTAAAAGCAGTGTGATGGGATTAATGTGGCTCGTTAGTTCCATAAAAAAAATATGCTCAATGCAATTCAGTTCAACTTTTTTCTTCACAAATACAGACAACACCAAGGTGTAGCCAGGACACTTAAAAATAGAACTGACTTAATGTGAAATATAGGAAAATATATATCGGCTTCAAGAGTGGTCAGAGGATGCATGTAGGTCTTGGTGTTGAAAATATCATTAACTGAAAATAAATGTGGTAAATAAACTTGTAGAATTTATAAGAAGATTTTGTATAAATCTCAACTTTGTTCACTCTGAGCTAGCAACGAGGCTAAATCAAAGGTCTACTGGTGGTGGGGTCGAGGGGGTGATAACGGGAAGCGCTGCTAATTGTTTTTAAACCTTTTCTTTTTCACATCTAGGTGTGTTTCCCGTGATAATTTTTACTTCCCCGGTTCGGAGATCAATTTAGACCAACATTAAGTTGTTAATATTACTTGTAGTTTAAGAATGTAAATAAAAAGTTAATAATGAGCAGCTCTAAATTAATGCAATGCACCTCACTCCAGTATTGATTCTGTTCTAGGTCGTGGTTGCAGAGCTGGTGTGAGCGGAGTATAAATGGTCCGTTCCTCATAAGGCTCTTACACAAGCGACTTTTAGCTCATAATTTTAACTTGTTGCGCGCTTAAAGACCTTAGTCGTTGAAATCTTGGAGTAATCTGCCAATGTTGTGACGGCACCGAGTGTGAGCTCATTCAAGATAAGACTTGACCAACATTGGCACTTGGTTAAGTACATTCTACAGCCAGTACTGTATACATGCCCAGAGGATAAGTATGAATATCTATTTCTCATATACTATTCCACTGGCGTTCGTCGGTGCGTGTGTGTCATCAGTCTACGGAACAGTGTGTTGGTTCGTGTGTGTAAGTTTACCGCAACAGCAGTTAGTTAACGTTAATTTCTATATCACACATACAGAAGTAAGTTGTATCTTTCTGTAAGAACGACACGATTGATCCTTGAATGGGCTGTGACTGTTGGAAGGTGACGACGGAGGCTGAACTAATACTTCCTTAATAAAGTATTGCCTAAGAGGATGTTGTCCGAGAAACCGTTTGAGTAATCCGTGGAGTTGCCGACTCTCACCTCGATGTTATTGAATTAGGAGGGGAAAGTCTGGTTCCTGACAGAGTTAACGAGCTGCTGTAAGCCGATGGAGATGGCCAGGTAGGTGTTGGTCATGGACACTGAGCTGTAACACCGAGTTAAGATGTTACGGTAGAACCCGTTAATGGCTTTAGTGGAGTAGTAACTTGGGGTGTAACTAATTGACGCGGCGATTGAGGCAGACGCCATTATCTCTGATCCCCAGCTGGTGTAGCAAGTGCCATAGTGTGTCGTACCTTCGCCCGCCCAGTTTCTGCCTACCCTGGCTCTGTACATACTGCATGTTGTGCCTGAGGGAGAGAAAATGTCTTTTATTTGTGTACTAATTTGTGTAAGGTTAGATTAGGTTAAGAAAACCAATGAAGAGATTTATGCACACACACACATACATACATACACATACATACAGACATGCCCCAGCGTGACACTTACCAGACAGACAGAACATGGTACAAGGAGGTTTGCGTTGACAGTAGGCAGCGCAGGTCAGTTTGTTGGGCACTGTCTCTGTGATCAGACTACAGCCAGACAGACTAGGGAAGGTGGGATTCGTGACCTGTAATTCACGAATGTGTGATTAGGGTCTGTCTGTCTGTTTGTAGTGTCTGTCTTTGGTAAAATGACTGTCTGTTTGTCTATCCATTTCAAGGGGTTAACCAGGTAATTTAAAACATCATTAGTACTTCTCTCAGATCCCCGACACTATTAATTGATGTCATTTATTCAAGTGTCTATTTATGCTGTATATATGGCAAGAAGAAGAATAGGTGTATTGATATATAGTATAATTATAAGCTTCAGGGATAGATAGATACCCTGACCTATACTTAATAGAACACCTGTGACCTGACCTTGGCGAACAGTTGTGTGGCG